GCTGGGATCCCCATTTTTGGTTCTGTTCCCTGTCTGAAACCAGCTGGAATCCTCATTCTTGGCTCTGTTCCCTGTCTGAAACCAGTTGGAATCCCCATTCTTGGCTCTGTTCCCTGTCTGAAACCAGCTGGGATCCCCATTTTTGGCTCTGTTCCCTGTCTGAAGCCAGCTGGCATCCTCATTCTTGGCTCTGTTCCCTGTCTGAAACCAGCTGGGATCCCCATTTTTGGCTCTGTTCCCTGTCTGAAGCCAGCTGGCATCCCCATTCTTGGCTCTGTTCCCTGTCTGAAGCCAGCTGGCATCCCCATTCTTGGCTCTGTTCCCTGTCTGAAATCAACTGGGATCCTCGTTTTTGGTTCTGTTCCCTGTCTGAAACCAGCTGGGATGACCTGTTTTGGTTCAGTTCCCTGTTGGAAATGAACTGGGATCACTATTTTGGGTTCAGTTCCCTGTTGGAAATCAACTGGGATCACTGTTTTGGGTTCAGTTCCCTGTTGGAAATCAACTGGGATCACCATTTTGGGTTCAGTTCCTTGTCTGAAACTTTCAGGGAGATGGGGGATAGAGGGTTTTTCCCCACGAACCCAACCTTCACCATGCCTCTTGGCTGGAATATCAGCGGAAACTAAAAAACAGGAAGTATTTTGGTTAGAAAGACATGTTCAAATGGTGCACGACTAAATACAACTATCAATACGAAAATAAATGGCCTACCTCTGTTCGCATTGATCAAAAGATCTGTTTTGTGACCAAAGCCATGTTGTATGTTAAGAACCAGGTTATAGGAATGTGGCACTTTAAGTCCAACCTACTTTTTGCATATAGTCATGATGTCAAATGACATTTTCTTGATGAATACATCAAACACTAGAGACAATAGTCTAGAGCTTGATGCATTTATCCATTGGATCATTGTGATGATAATTTTTGTTTGCTCAGAGCAACTGCAAACTTGTAGTTGAAGCAGCACCACCAAATTATTGCAGTGAAAGCCCTGGACCTGGTGATAGAATGGAGTTTTTGAAAAATTTCTGTCTGGTTTTAGACCATTACACAGCACCACAACAGGTTTAATTGTGGTTTGTAATGGCATTCAGTTGACAAATGATTCTGGTCAGTTTGCAATACTTGTACTTCTGGACCTTACCGCTGCTCTTGATACTGTTGACCACAGTATCATCATATATAGGTTAGAACATTGGTTTGGGATTACAGGTGCAGCATTACAATGGTTCCGTTTGTACCTAACCGACAGGAGTTTCTATGTTAAGGTTGGAAATAGTATATCCGCATCAGTGCCTCTTTCCTGTGGGGACCCACAGGGCTCGGTTCTTAGACCCCTTTTATTTTCACTCTTATCTGCTGCCTTTGGGATCTATCTTGAGGAAACATGGTTTTTCATTTCACTGTTATGCTGATGATCGTCAGATTTATCTACTCTTTAAACCCAACAGTTCCTGCTCCATTTGCCCTCAGTTGAAATGTCGTAATGACTTCAACTTTTTTAAGTTTTCGTGATCAGAAAACTGAAGTCATTGTGTTTAGCCCTAGCTCTTACACTGTCACTGATCCTGTAAATCTTGACTCTCTTGTGCCTTATCTTAAGCGGTCTGTTACAAATCTCGGGATGGTTTTAGACTCTGACTTTAAGTTAAATTAACAGATTAACTCTGTTCTACAAAAACTTCTTCCAGTTAATGCAGAAAACTAAGCTCAAGTCTGTGCTGACCAGATCTGACCTCTAAAAAATACTCCATGCATTTGTTACAACCCGGCTGGACTACTGTAACGCGCTTTATGGTAAATGGACTGTACTTATATAGTACCTTTCTATCTTATCGAGATACTCAAAGACACTACACTACAATCTGTGCCCTCGTTTACCCATTCATACAGCACTTTGCTAAATCTTTACAAAGCTAATTGAACAAATCATTCTAAAGAGACTAATCAGAGCTTTATCACATTCATACACCGATGGGACACGCATCGGAGGCAACAAGGGGTTCAGTGTCTTGTCCAGGGACACTTTGGCATGTGACTGCTGGTGGATTCGAACCCCCAACTCTTGCATTAGAGGACGACTGCTCTAACCACTCAGCCACAGGGTCAGTCAGGTCTCCCTTTCACGTCTCCAGCTTGTCCAAAATGCTGCAACTCGGCTATTAACAGGAACTTGTAGGTTTGAGCACATTTCACCAAGTTTGTCCTCCCTTCACTGGCTCCCTGTGCATGGACTTGACCATTCTTTACGGTAAGAACATGATTTACGTTAAAAAAAAACCCTGAAAGAATGCATTGAATGTTTGCTGAGTTTAAATATTTTTGTAGAGAAGAGTGCAACCTTTGCTTTTCACGTCATAGTTTGGTCACGCTCATATTCCAGCCTGTCTGTGTGACAGTGAAGATAAAACCATGACTTTATGTTGAGCATTAGTTTTCAGATTGTTGAGCAGTGATGTTCTCCTCACCCACTCTTCTGTCCATCTCGCTGATGTGTTCCTTCACCAGGCCGGTGTTGAGGTCAACAAGGAATTTCCTGGAAGGCTCTGTACCTTGTCTGAAGCCTCCAACACCCCGTAAACAGTCTGTAGGAAGCTGATGGATTGGCAATACTCTCTGTTCAGGGACTGCGATTGGAAGAGCTTGGAGACCTGTGAGGAGTTACTCAGATTTAGATGATTACTTATTTACCAGGTCCAAAGTGCCTTTTAGTAGACCTTCATAAGCAACTCAGTTGTGACTGTCTTCTAAACCAGGGTTTCTCAAACTTTTGGGTTCGGGGACCCCCTCATAACCCTCATGTTTATTCAGTTTGTCTCTTTAATGCAATGGAAATATTTGTGTAACTCAAAACCTGTTCTTTAATAGTGTTAATACAATTTTTATACTTTTAAACATGGGGTATTTTTCATATAATATACACTTAATTAACAAAAAATTTAATTTCAACTTCCCAAAATGACAGTTTTGAGAAAATTAACAGCATCAAAAACCACTTTAAAACTTTACCTATTCACATAATAAACATAAATGTATCGCCGCCACTTCAAATATTACAGAAAACTCTAACATAAAACTGAATGGAGTCTCAACAGCAGTAGTCATACCAAGTAGCAGGGCTTCATTTGTAAATCGATCAATGCCGGAATGCAAATAGTGGGCGGGGCCGGGGGTCCTCCCCAGAAATTTTTGAACAACTGCACTTTGATGTAATATATATATATATATATATATATATATATATATATATATAGTCACAAATCACTCCTGAAACTTTTCTCCATCCTGCCTGGACACTCTTTTTCACTTCTTTACCACATTCCCCACTTTCCTGGACAGTGGACCCCAAGTCCTTGAAGTCCTGGACCTTTTTGACCTCTGCTCCTTGTAGCCTCACTGTTCCACCTCCCCCCTCTCATTCACACACATGTCCACCTCTCCAAGTTATCTTCCACCTGTTCCCTGTTCTCACCACAAATCACAATGTCATCTGCAAACAACATAGTCCATGGGGATTCTTGCCTGACCTCATCTGTTAGTCAGTCCATCACCAAAGCAAAAAAGAAGGGGCTCAGAGGGGATCCTTGATGCACTCCAACCTCCACCTTGAAGCTATCTGTCACTCCTACAGCACATCTCACCACTGTCCTGCTGTCCTCATACATGTCCTATACCAGTCTAACATACTTTTCTGCCCCTCCAGATTTATTTATTTATTTATATATATATATATATATATATATATATATATATAAATTTTATATATTTATATATTTTGTTTTTTTGCGGACCCCCAAGCACCGGTTCTTGGACCCCTGGGGGTTTCGGGACCCCAGTTTGAGAACCACTGGTCTAAATGACACAATCATAGGAACTTAAGGGAACAAAATAGAACAATATTGGAACAGTAGCATTTTCGAAAGCGCAGTATCAAAACGGGAACATAAATCTTTTAAACAATTTAAGATAAACAAAAGAAACTGAACATATTATAAAGAAATCATGTTTGAAATGCATAATGTTCAAGAATCACTAGATCATTTTTATTTATTTTAATAAGTCTGAACTAAAATGCTTTATTTTTAAATGTTGTCTAATTTTTTTTTTTTTTTACCAAATTTTCATATTTGACTTTTTTTAATAACTTGAAATATGTACTGTATATATAATTTGGTAAAATTATTTTTCTTTATTTTAAAATTTGTTAAATGTTTTAATAAATGTTCTTTAAAGTGATTGTTTTGTATTTTTAGATAAATCTGAGATAAAATCAAACCCTTGTTTTTAGTTTTTAAATGTGCAGCTTTTTTTAAAATTAATAATTAACTGCTCTTTATCAGATTAATAGTTTATCTTTAGCGCTGTAATAAACCAGTCAGATTTTTGTACAGTTATAAAAAGTTGCCTCTTATCACGTTTACTGTTTGACCAAAGCAAGTTTGGTTGTCATGGCAACAAGCAGCAACGCTGATATGATCTGGACAAAAATTACACAATACTGTCAGGTAGAAAACTTCTTCAATTTCCAAACAAATCAAACGTTCGACTATTGGTGAAATGATTTTATAATGTCATCACTTTGACTTTATTTTGATGACTAAGTATCATCTTTAAGACAACGTAAGTAGAGAATCACATCGTCCGCAAACGTGATCATCCACTGAGAAAATACTTTATTTATAATTCTCTAAATCAAAACATGAACTAAAGAAATTGCATTTTCCTCTGAAAATGCTGTGTGAGTGCTTATTGCAGAAGAACTTGCTGAAATTCAGCTGAAATTAGCTAAAAACATGCTGAAATGTAGCTGAAATTTAAGAACAAGCCTAAATTAGCAGAAGAAAGCGAAGAACACATTTGTTGAATTAGGTTTAAATGGTCATAAATTATCACAAAATTTAGGAAATTAAATAAAAAGCTGAAATTAGCATAACAGAAATAGCTGAAAAAGGAAGTAAGATGCTTAAACTGCCAGATGGAAGCGAAAAGAGCTTAAATGGGCTCAGAAAATGTGGAGTTAGCTGAAAAAGCTAACATTAGCGTCAAGAGCTAACTAATAGCTGAAAAAGCATGATAAACTTGCCCCGAAAAAAGGCTGAAAGAAGCATTAAAAAAGCTACATTATACTGAAAGTAGCCGAAATTAACATGAAAAACTTAAATTTATCTGAAAACGGCTGAAATTAGCTAAAAAATAATGAAAAAGCTAGCTGAAAAGTTAGAACAAGCTTAAATTAGCAGAAGAAAGCAGAAAGAACGTTTACCCACTTAGACTGAAAGGATCCGAAATTATCACAAAAAACTGGAAATAATCTAAAAAAAAGGCTGAAATTAGCAACAAAAAACCAGCTGAAAAGCAGCTAAAATAACAGAAAAAAAGCTTAAATTACCAGAAGGAAGTGGACAGCACATTTTTGCTGAATTAACCGAAAAAGTTTAAATGAGTGCAAAAATGTGGAATTAGCTGAAAAAGCTAAAATTAGCATTAAAAACAGCTAAATGGTAGCTGAAATACCAGAAAAAGCTGATTCAAGGTTCTTTGTTTTTTGCATCGCATGTGGTACATGAGGTGGAACGAAAGTGTGTACACAGGGAAAGGGATACTTGCAGAAAAAAGCTAAAAGGAGCTTAACAAGCTGAAATTAGCACAATGTTAGAAGAAAGAATGTGAAAGCAGCTGAAGCAGAACAAAACATGAAAGGAGCAGTAAAATGCTGTAAACAGATCTGAAGGAGGTAAAATGAACTCAATTCATTTTATATGAGGAAAAAATGGCAGAAAAGGCTAAACATTTGAAAAAGCTAAAGTTGCACCAACACCAAAAGTCACAGCAGGATTGTCCTGAGCGAGCTGAACGTTTTGATTCACGATTTGTTGAAAAGGCACAAAAACTGTGAAACAAGAAAGACGCAGAAGTTTGATCAGAGTAGAGCGACTGCTTCGTAAACGCTCACGGGAGCGTGATGTAACCGAAGACCTCGGTTCTTACCTGACAGTGTCAGGAGCGCCAGCACCAACGTCAGCATCCTGTCAGATAAAACAACCGATTTAAGCCTGAATTCTCCGGCTGTCGTCAGCGCATCTCATCTTTTTCGCCCAACAGTGACGCCTCATCATTCATTAACCAGCTTATTGATCATCTTTAGCGCGTTTTGGCTTCTTCGGGAGTTCGGCGCTGCTTACCTGTGGCCGCAGCGACTCTGAGCAGCTCTGCAAGACAAGTTTGTCCCAATATGTCCCCAACGTGGTCATATATGATGCGATTACTCATTAATCTGCGCTTCCTTTGGCTGGAGACTTAGATATTTGATGAACTTTGCCTTCAAGTCGTGACCTGATAAAGGGTTGGACGCAGCTCTTGTGTACAGCTAATAAAGATGACCTTTGACCCATCAGGGGGAAAAAATACACCTCCTTTTTCCTACTGTACAAATCCTGTTTAGAAATATGGGAAAGGTGAACGGCACTCGGTTTAATTGAGGGGAGTTCAGTCGATAATTGTGACGTCTGTTGGAGAGTAAAATCACAACCGGAGGCCATTAAAGGTTGTTTTGGACTAATATTTACTCCCAACGAAGTCGTCTGGAGGGTTTCTTTTTTGTTTTGTCGAGACGTTTCGTCCTTCATCGATCCGAGGAGCCACAAGCAGCACGCTCCCATAGTGGACCAACCAGTTTGCTGGTGAGAAGGTGGCTTCTGGGGCCCGCCCCCTCCCTCGGTGACTCTGAGGCAGCCGTAGCCAAACTGGTTCAAAACAGCAAAGTTCATGTTCGGCAATCCAGGTAAAAAAAAATACATTTTTTTGTTTGTGGCTCCTCGGATTGATGAAGTCCTTTGGATGAAACGTCTCAACAACAACAAAAAAAAACTGTCCAGATGAACTGACTGAACATTGTTGGATTTTTTTTATCTGGATTATTGAGCATGGACTTTGAACGTACTTCATGGATGTTCAACTAAACAGCTCAGAGGGCCACAGTTTCTGTAGCAGGGCCGCACATACAATGGTACCTTTTTTCCCCCATTCAACTTTTATTTTGAGCCTCGGGGACTCATTTACGAGAGACACCTGGTTTTAACGAAGGGTGATGACAAAAGTAGACCATTTTTTTAAATAATTTTACAAATTAAAATAAAATGGCAACCAAAAAGACGGTTGAAAGGAAAAAAATTAAGCAGCTAGATTATAGGGCGGTGTAGAAAACTAAAAAACGGAACAGGTCTGCATTGGTTGTTGCCAGGAACTTAAACAGATGTTTTAAATTAAAATTTAAGTGGCTTTAATTTTTAAATTTGTTTATTGCATTGAATCATGAACGCGATAAACAAAACCCAAAACACCAAAAAAAATATTTTTTTCATCAAGTGGTGGGCCGGACTGAGTTCACCCACGGACCGGAAATGGCCCGCGAGCCGCATGTTGAACATCCCTGCTTTAGTGTTCATCTTAAGTATTACTATATATATATATTAATATACTTCTGTTAACAGATAAATCAAACATCGGTGCTTTTGATGCAACTTTGTGAAGTTGAGGATAACGTCTCGCTCCTGTGAAGTGAGCTCGTGCTTTTAACGAGCTCACTTCCGGTTTCAAACGGTTCAAAAAGTTCAAGGTTGTGAGGCTGACGTTTGTTTTCAGTGGCCTCTTGGGCAGCACGCGGCTCCAAACACGCTGACTTTAACTGAGCAACACTTTGTCGGGTCTAAAAAGAAAAATACATAAAAAAAAAACAAAAAAAACTCTTATTTAACCTCGCCAACTCTGCGTTCGATAACCGGCGCAGAGTGCGCAATGTACGTACGTACGTGACGATTCGCTGACGTCACGCAGCAAAAGTTAGCTTGCGCTCAACAGGAAATGTAAAGATTACGCTTTCAAAGTATAACCTAAATAACACCGCGTTTAACTTTAAACGACAATAAGGTTTCCTACTTGTATTTTCTTTAATAACTCTCAAATAAGGAGTTATACCGTATCGATTTTTAAAGACTTTTCCCTCCAAAAATGCTGCTATGTGAATTACTTAAACTTTTATTTTGAAGTTTTGACAGGAAGTCGTGCGGCGTTTGCGTGCTCACAGTTGCAGCGGAACGCTAATGCACAGCAGCGGCGTGTTTCTTGGTTTACTTGGTGGTTTTGCGGCCGGCCACCCTCCACGACGCAGTATTTAATCAGCTAATTGATTCGGAGTCGGACGACGAGCGGCTGCCTCGTGTTACGCAATGAAGACGGAGACGAAGTGACCTGTCGCAGCTAAAAGCAGCTAGCCGAGCGAAGAGCACTTCAGGGTGTCACTCGGTCGGACCGGTCACTTTCATCAGCGCTCTTTTTTTATTATTAGTTTTTACTCTCTTTTTTTTGTTGTTGGTTTGTGCTTAAAATGGCGTTAGTAGCAGCGGTAAGACGACTCGCCCATGTTAGTTTAAGAGAATATTCCCGGAGGAGGACGGCGGTGTCCTGCGGAGGCTGGCTGACGGGTGGAAGGGGTTTAACCTCCGGCACACAGCCGCTCAGGTATGGAAATCATTACAACCAGGAAGTAGACGGCGCTCAACCCCACTTGAATCTGTTGGTGGAATTAATACTTTAAGATGACACGAGCTCGCAGCCGACAGGACTTCGTGTTCCTCATGTCCAGTTTAATATTTTACTAACAGAACCCACATGCAAAACATAAAAGCCTGCGTTTGCATTCGTTTTACATATTTTTTACAGTAATGCAAGCTGCAGCAGAGAAGAGAAATGTTTGAATTTGGGATTTAAACAAAAAAAAAAGTTTAATAATAAAAGTGCTGATTAAGCAATATGGTTTTTCCTTTTGTGTCCTATTATTATTATTATTTTTGTCAAATTTAGTTTTCATTGTCATTGCTCTTATTGTCTCTTGAATGACTTTATAATCCTGTTCCTGTATTTTTCTTGGCTCCAAGTCTTTCACGAGATCTTGTGTCCTCAGAAAAGCCTCGGTCTGGTGCTCGAGGCCGCACTGATCCACCTCGGCTCGTGTGAAGGTCTCGACCACAGCTGAACGGCTCGTTTAATTGCGTAACGCGTGAAACCTCTAGATGTTTCAGGCCAGCCTTAAAACTCCCCGACCTTCAGCTCGAGGTCCAAACACCCGTCGGTGACCCTCCTGTCACAAACACGTCCAGGAACCCCCCTGGGAGGTTTAAAGTGTGTGTTTGTCGTACGCTCACGTGGTCCAGGAGAGACGGGGCAGGCTTTAACAGATTCTTGCTTTCAAAGCAGATTAGTTCTCGCTGGTCCTGAGACTTCACCGTGAGTCGAAGAGTTCAACGTTTCTAACGAAGGAGTTTACGGGTTTTCTAATTAACAAATGGGATCACTGGACGAGGACGGTGTGTTCTTGGTGTGGAGTGAAGACCGCCGTCTCAACGGGAAGAATTAAACATCCACTGGGTTCATGAGTAGCCAGATGTTTCTCAAAGAGGTTCCTCGTTGCTGAACGTCGCGTTGTTTTCTGGATAAATAAAGATCCAACAAAGTCCTCTGGACACTTTGTGTTGAAACGTTTCGTTCTTCATCCGAAGGACTTCGTCAGTCCGAGAAGCCACAAAAAACTCAGTCCCATAGTAGAGTAGCGTGCTCGTATAGTGGACCAACCAGTTTTATGGTGGTAAGATGGTTTCTGGTGTCCACCCTCTCCCCTGTTGACTCCTTTTTAGGCAGCCGTAGCCAAAGAGGTTTAAAGTGTCAGAGTTTATAAAACTTGGCCCACTACGTGAGTAAGCCACGTATGGGACTGAGTTTGTTGTGGCTCCTTGGACTGATGAAGTCCTTTGGATGAAAGATGAAACGTTAAAAAAAAACAACAACCCAGAAACCGTCCAGATGTCTTGACTTAGTTGGATTTATTTTCTGGATTATTGAGCATGAACGTTGACATAAGACGGAGGGCACAACTTCAGTTCAAGCAGAGAAAATGAGCTGAAGTTCAGCCTCTGCTCAGAGACGGTTCAGGTTGTTTTGAAGCAACTTTGCTCGTCGTTATTTTTGTTCACGTTTGAATAATTCCGACCTCGCTGTTTTCCATCAAAGTCAAGGAAAAGTTGTGGGGGGGGGGGGGGTATGCAAGGTCTGCAACAAACGAACAAATGATTCCTGCTCAAAATGAAAATCGTGATATTTGTTGCGAGTTAAAGTTAAAAACACAAAACTGCAGGTTGACTTATTGTATTTTTTATTGGGTACTGCACCCCCCCCCCCCTTAATGCGTCCCGAACCACAGCGTCTACCCCCACAAACGTATCAGAACGACCGACTCGGCCCCGTGACGTGTGCTATTACTTTTATTGGCATTTCGAGTTACCATGGCGACGTAATTTGCGAACAAAGACGCATTATTTCACCAACTCCAGGAACTAGTTGGTGACTGCCCACTGATTAGTCAAAGACTGAAAAGTGCATCTCTTTCAGTGTTGATGCGTCCCGAACCGCAACGTGGACCCCCACAAAAGTATCAAAACGACCGGCGCGGCTCCGAGATGTGTGCTATTACTTTTATTAGCATTTGCAGTTACCATGGCGACGTATTTTGCTAACAAGCACGCCATGTTTCCCCATAGGAAATGAATGAGAGAAGACTCCTCTCACCAACAGCTGCCGACAAGTCACATGAAGGAAACGGGAAGTCACAGCTGGATTTGTTTGAAACTCGCAGAAAGGAATCATCAGATGTTTCTCTAGAACTGATTAAAGTTTGGAGCCATTTTGATTCAAGATGGCTGCCACAGCTACCTCGGCAAACACAAAATTGACTATAACTCAGTCGTTCTTTGACGTATTGAGCTGAAATTACGTACAGTTGGAGCTGAGAGCGAATTGTTACGCGTTCCTAATGAAACTAAATCATCAGCGGCCTGGCAGCCCCCGTCCATGTTTCTCCAGGAACGTTCTAGTTTTTCCATATTTCGCTATCAATCTTTAAAAATCAGGGCATGCTGTGGTTAATATGTAACACAAACATGTAATTTCCGTTTGATAAAACGTGCATAACACAAGACGGGTATATTTAACAACCCTTACAAGATGTTGTACACTCAACCACAATGAGCTGGTTGTAGCAGCTGCTGCGTCTTTAATAAGCCACATTTAAAGCCTTTTTATAAACACTGATTTAATATAACAACTCTAGATGAAACGTATAGATTAACAGATTTGGCAAGAAACTGGTCAGTTTTGTCTCCGTCACCCTTAATGCATAATAAGCAGTTATTAATGATGTGTTTATAGAGGAATTAATAACATATCTATAAACTATTTATTAGCCATGTATAAGGGGAGTCTGACTGTAAAGTGAAACCCAAACTTTGTTTTAATTTTAACGATACAGTTGCTCAGCACGCAACCGGGATCGGCTGATTTAGAGCTGAACGGACTTTATTTTTGCCTTTGTGTGTGGCAGACATCATGAAGTCGGTCTTATGGTAACACAAATATAATTTAAAATGAAGTGAATTGAGTGTTCCTCCTTCAGTAAAAAAAAAAAAAAACTTCCATTAAATATGTTTTTATGAATTAGCTGCTTAGCTAATGTGTGTTTATAGACAAAAAATAAATATTTAGGTGCAGACGGACGGATTCAGTCGCCTCCAGAGCATTTTTCCCCCCTGTGGGTCAAGCTGCCGCCCCCTGCTGGTTATAAAGGGAAATTCACGTAAAGAACAGATTGGCTTTACTTTTCAGACCTGGAGGCTGTTTTAGTTAATGATTTCAGCGTACAGAGTACCACCCACACTGTAAATAAACTAGGCTAAGTGAAAGCTGAACACTTAAATGTTTTTAAAAAATATACATATTTCATGTCGTTGATGCTTCAGTGTTTGCATGTCACTAAGCAGTGGTACCCAACTCTTGTCCCTGAGGAACGCCATCCTGCATGTTTTAGTTGTTTCTCTGCTCCCAACACACCTGATTCAGTGATTTAATTACTTCATAAAGTTCTCACCCATTTATTAAAATCAGGTGTGTCCGAGCAGGGAAACAACTAAAGCATGCAGGATGGTGTTCCTCAGGGACCAGTGTTGGGAACCCCTGACTTAGAGGGCAGTATTTTGTATAGATGATCAGCAGTGGTGGAGGAAATTGTAAAAACATGCTGTGGGTTCTCGCCACCGCCTCAGGTCAGACAAGGTGACGGTCCACTTCATCAACCGGGACGGGGAGAAGATCACAGCGAAGGGGTCGCCCGGAGACACTCTGCTAGACCTGGTCATCAACGAAAACCTGGACTTTGATGGCTTTGGTGCGTGAACATGTTCACAAACCTGAGGAACTGAGCCGAAGCCTGCTGTGACAGATGACGTTAAAGCGTGTGTGTTGCAGGAGCGTGTGAGGGAACGCTGGCGTGCTCCACGTGCCATCTGATCTTTGATGAAGAGATGTACAAGAAACTGGGCTCGATCACAGACGAGGAGATGGACATGCTGGACTTAGCTTACGGTTTGACCGAGACGTAAGAAAACCTTATTTTTTTTGTCTTATTCAGAGCACCTGAACACAGAGTCGTTATAAAAACCAGATTAAGTCCAGCCTCTTGTCTTTTTAGAAAGTTTTGGGAAGGTTCTCATTGGGTTTTACTCAAGACTTCCACTGATTATTTTGGAGCGACCAGTTCCTACCAAACAAACCGTTTAAGATGGTGTTAATGAAAACGATGTAAAAAGATAGAACCTCAGGAAATGAATAAGACTGAACTTTACACTCCAACGGAAGAATGAGACTTTTAGGACTCAAAACGAGGCTTTGTGGTAACAAATGACAAGTTGTTTATCTAATATTGGGTGTTTAGAGATAAAACATGGGGTTACCGTAATTTTAAACGTTTTGGCGGCAGAAAGCTCCTTAACACGTCAAAAATAAAATAAAATCCATAAATTAGCTGCAGCAGTGTATTAGCCGTGGTGTTCAAAGTGTGTGTGTGTGTGTGTGTGGGGGGGGAAGTAGTGGCTTATAGTCTGGAAATGACGGTTTTTGGAAAAATGTCAAGATAAACGTAATTATCAACAATCAAATTCTTATGTAAACTTTTTTTTTAAGCTTTTGCCTTAGGCTTTACTTTCCATGGTTTAATTCTGAAGGACAAGCTAACAGCTAGCAGGGCCAAAGTAATTATCTGAAGACCCACTTATCCGGCTGGAAGGACCAAACTTAAGCTAATAATTTAAAAATTAATCTGTTAAAGGATCTGTTAGCCCCAATATCTTATTATTGTACTAAAAGTTGCTCTTTGTTTCCCATGAAACCTCCTCATTACTTAAATTGGATATGTTTATTACATTTTTCCCCTAAGGAAGTCAAAATATTTTACCGGCGCAATGCATTCTGGGGCAATGCGTCCATAGAGCAGTTTTGATTTGATTTATTTCATCTGTACTGAAACGATCCAAACCGTCAGATGAATGAAGAGCAGCAATTTCTAAAGTATTGTTCGTGTGCAACAAACAGATCTTCTCTCTAGCTGCACTTCCTGCAGTCTTGTTTTCCCATTAGTGACACCTACAGTTCAGGAGGAGAGCTGCAGCAGTGCCAGTAAAAACAGCAACAAACATGAAAAAGTGTGTAAAGAAAGGGTGAATTAAACAAAAAGGACATTTTCTTAAGAGTGTTCAACACATTTAGTTAAATCTCATTTTTGCCTGTTTAGGTCTGAGTCAGATTTGCTGAATATATGAAGTGGCCATTTTTATTAGGTAGAAAAAAAGAGTTTTAATCTCAGAATGACTTCTTTGCTTTGATTTGTATTAAATCTTAACGTTGAATCCAACTCCTAAATGTTTTCGTTGCTCTGCCGTCATCGGAGGTAGTTTGTTGTAGTTCTTTCATTTCGTAATATATTTACATTCAACTTAATCGAGTTTAATTTTTATTTTATTGATGGTAGTTTTTGTGGTTGAAAAGAAATTTATTTTGAGGGACTCGAAGTATTTTCCATTCGTCATGGCCGCAGAGTTTTGGGTTAGTTGAGTGACCTTTGGAGAACGTAGTTCCATGATAAAAACCAGAGAAATGCATTTCCTGTAAAAATGCAGTGTGAATGCTTATTGCAGAAGAACTTGCTGAAAAACAGCTGAAATTGGCAACAAAACATTCTGAAATGTGAGAACAGGCCTAACTTAGAAAGTAGAAACGACACATTTGCTGAATTAGGTTTAAATGAGCAGAAATGAGAAATTAGCTAAAACAAGCTAAAATTGGCAACAAAAAAATAGCTGAAAAGGCAAAAAGAAGCTTAAACTACCAGAAAGAAGCAGGAAAAATTTAAATGAGCATCAAGAGTTAAAAAGAATAACAAGTTGAAATGAGTATAAAAAAGTTAATTGGGCTGAAAGTTGCAAAATTACCATGAAAACGTGAATTTAGCTGAAAACAGCTGAAATTTGCTAACGGTAGCTGAAAAGTTAGAACAAGCTTAAATTAGCAGAACAAAGCAACAAGAACACGTTTGAACAATTAAGCTGAAAGAAGCAGAAATGAGCATAAAGAAGTGGATATTATCAGAAAAAAAGCTTAAATTGACAACAAAAAAACAGCAGAAAGGAGCTTAAATTACCAGAAGGAAGTGGAGTGAGAACATTTTTGCTGAATTTGGCTGAAAAAAGTTGGAACTAATGGAAAAAAATGTGGAATTAGCATAAAACAGCTAAATAGTGGGTGAAATAGAAAAAGCTTAAACTTGTATAAATAAGCTGAAATTAGCAGAAAGTTAGAAGCGCAAAATGAATTCAAAGCTGAAATGAGCTGAAAGTAGCTGAAAAACAGTTTAAATTGGCAGAAGGAAGCTGAACAAAATGTGAAAAGGGAGTAAAAGGTTGTAAAATGAGCTCAATTCATTTTCTATGAGGAACAAAGGCTAAATATTTCAAAAAGCTAAAGTTGCACCAAAAGTCATAGCAGGATTGTCCTGAAAGAGCTGAACGTTTTGATTTATGATTTGTTGAAATGCACATGAAACGGCACTTCTTTTTTTTCCCCAGATCTCGTCTGGGTTGCCAGATATGCCTGACCAAGGCTCAGGACGGCATGGTGGTCCGGGTTCCAGAGAGCGTCGCCGACATCCGGCAAACCAAAGACGGCTCGTCCTAACGGAGGAGACCGCAGCCCAGAACCACGGACGTGGAGGTGGGGAGGGATCCGTCACAGCTGCCACTGAACTGTCATTTTTTATCAAACAAAAACCTTTTTTTTCTAGAGTAAAACATGAACCGTACCAAACGGTTCAATATTTATAAGCAATAAACTGTGTAGCTAAGAAAACCCATTTCTTCAATCTGGTTTATTTTAATCACTTTGAGTACCAGCTTTCTAACTTCAAGCCTTTCTGGATTTGCGTTTACTCTTACCGCTGACTAAAATGTTGGAAAATAAAATCAGCTTAAAGTTCAAAACCTTAAGCGTAGCAGTACATTTTTATTAGACATCAAACCCACAATGTAACTATTTAATCATGTGATTGTACATAAAGAGAGAAACGAATAATAAAACCCGACCTTTCTAACAACTGTTGGCCTGCATCTTATATGTTTGAAGCGGCATGAAAAAGATGAGCACTAAAAATACCCAGACAAACCACCCTGGTTCTAAGAGAAGCCAAACTGAAGCTCACTTATTAAAGAAGGCAACAACAGGTGCTTTTAGCATTGGCAGGTTTGGTCCCACACTTTAAACCGTGAGGTTTGAACCCTCCTGCTGCCCTTGGGTCAAAACGCAGCTAGCATTTTAACCCGAAGGCAGCCGGAGGGTTCCAACTGATTTACAATCTTGTCACAGTAGGTATGCAGCTTTGAGGCGTCTGTTTTTATAAGGAAAAAGGGGGTAACTTTAGCTCAAACTGAAATTTGTTTTCTGATCTCATCTGCTTCAGGTAAAGGTTATGAATGGCATCACCTGTTGTAGAAGATGTGGTTTAATTCTGAGCGACGAGCTAGCAGGGCCAAAGTAATTATCTGAAGACCCACGTATCCGGCTGGAAGGACCAAACTTAAGATAACAAATTTAAAAATTAATCTGTTGGCCCGAATATCTTACTGTACTAAAAGTTGCTCTTTGTTTCCCGTGAAAACTCATTACTTAAACTGGATATGTTTATTACATTTTTCCCCTAAGGGAGTCTAAACATTTTACCAGTGCAATGCATTCTGGGGCAGTGACATGCATAGATTGCAGACTAAAACATAAGGAGTCGAAGCATAAGTTATAATCTATGACAATAAAGTTATATTTTCTATTAGTTCCCGTTATGCAAAATGTTCCAATATGATTTGACTTTAAGGTTTTAGGTTAAAGCTGTGCTGCCATGCGTGTGCACTCCCAGTGATTGACGTGTGGCTGTGCGCTCGCTCTGTAGTCCAGATGGAACGAAGTTTCACTTCACATTCGCTGCAGATGATGGACAGATGTGGAAAATGTCTTTAATTTGTGACTAAACGTGCAACACGCTGTTCTAAAAGACATGAATGTTTTGACGGAGCGCGGAGCTCTTTGCAGCATAGTCTCTTTCATCAGTCTCCATTGTTCAGTTTCTGGCTGAGTCACTTCTCTTTTCTCTGGTTCAAAAGGGCTGACCAGACCAGTGTCATTTACCCAGAATGCACTGCATATTTTAAGGTCTACTGTTCCGAATAGGCAAAGATCCCTTTTAAAACGCATTTCAGCTTGATATGTTTGTGGCCTTCTATTTTTTATTTTTTCCAAATAACCACGTAACTGTAGGTAAATGGCAGTAATGGAAAGGTTTACAAGACAACGGTCAACGTTTTAAAAACGGCAGCAGTCCACTTTGTGCCTGGCTGCAACACCATCTACAACAGGTAAGATATTTGTTCACAACACAGAACCCCGTTTCAAAATTAAACATTGTCAAAATATTTGTTTTGGGACAAACGGAGCTTAAAAGAAAGGCTGCACAATAATAGAAAAACAGGTGTTTGTTCTTGTGACGACAGTTTAAGGTAAATGAACATCCAAGAGTTCCAGAGTCTAATCAGAACCGGTTGGTCCGATCGTCCAAATGACGACTATGGCACCTAGAGTATGGCTCGCTGCGGTCCTTAGCAATATTTTTTACTTGTGCAGCTCGACTAAAGTTTCATAAAACCGTGATGGTCTTAGTTTAACAGAAGCGCGGTTAGCGGGCGCTACATTCAGACGTAGGACTCCTCTGCGAACAGAAGCTGCTCTAAATCCGGCTCCGCCTTCGGGTCGCTGCATCTCCTCAGCCACTCCCTGCGACTCTCCGCCACGGCGAGCGCCACCTGCTGGCTGCTCTGAGGACTGCTGCGGGGGTGAGGGGAGAAGTAGTCCCTCACCACTTTGGAGGTGCACGGGGAGAGGCAGAAACGAGCGTCGGACGTCCCCCCCTGTGGGTCCAACTCGGATGGTTTTAGTCCCGGGTCGCTGGGCAGCCTCGCCCTGGTGAAGGCGGGGGCTCGATCCACGACCTGCCGCCCCGGTTCGGACCCCCGGCGCTGATGGAGCCGCTCACCGCCCTCCTCTGTGGACTGAGCCTTGCTCCGTCTGAACCGGGACAGAGGCGGCCCGCTGTGCCGGTGGAATAAAGACGGAGACGGCTGCTTCTGTTCGGCCACATTACTCGGCGCTGGACGCCTCTTGAAGTCAAGAGAGGACTCCGGTTCAGGGTGTCGGCAGGTCCCTCCTTCGCCTGCGTCCTTCGAGCCCCTGCGGGGGTGTCTGGGTTTGGGCTTGGCTGCTCCTTTCTCGAGTCTCCCCATCAACGTCCCTCCCTGTTTGGAGAAACTTTTTTTTTATAGCTTGAAAAATTTGCAGTTCCTGCAAAAACGCAGCAAGAATGCTCGTTGCAAAATTATTTAGCCGAAAGCTACTAAAACAGCTAAAGCTTAAACACTGGCTGTCGGGCAGAAGTAGCAAAATGCTGGGGAAAAAAAAAACTAGCTTGGAGCCACAAGTAGTGAAATCCTGACAAACACCAGGAAAATGTTAGTGAAGTAGCAAAATGCAGAAAGCACTAGCTAAAAGCTAGAAAAATGCAGAAAGCACTTGCTAAAAGCTAGAAATAGCTAAATGTTAGCAAACTGCAGAAAGCAATAGCTAAAAGCTAGAAGTAGCAAAATGCAGAAAGCACTAGCTAAAACCTAGAAATAGCTAAATGTTAGGAAACTGCAGAAAGCACTTGCTAAAAGCTAGAAGTAGCAAAATGCAGAAAGCACTAGCTAAATGTTAGCAAACCGCAGAAAGCACTTGCTAAAAGCTAGAAGTAGCAAAGTGCAGAAAGCACTAGCTAAAAGCTAGAAAAATGCAGAAAGCACTTGCTAAAAGCTAGAAATAGCTAAATGTTGGCAAAGTGCAGAAAACAATAGCTAAAAGCTAGAAGTAACAAAATGTAAGCAAAATAGAAAACACTAGCAAAAAGCTAAAAGGAGCAAATTTTTTAGCAAAATGCAGAAAACACTAGCTAAAAGCTACAAGTGGCAAAACGTTAGCAAATTGCAGAAAGTACTAGCTAAAAGCTAGAAATAGCTAAATGTTAGCAAAATGCAGAAAGCACTAGCTAAAAGCTAGAAGAAGCGAAACGTTAGCAGAAAGAAAATGCTAAGAACAAAAAGTATTTAAAACTAGTATAATGCTAAAAGCAAAAAGTAGCAAAACATTAGCAATAGCATGGCCGAACTAGCTAAATCAGGGCAGAATTAGCATTAGAAGAAGTATTAGTATAAATCTGAATAAGAGCACGTTTTAAAAGTTGAACGGGCTCCGTTCGTTTTCAATTAGACCAAAAATGGACAAAATGCTAAATGTTAAAAATAAGAATCCAAATGAATGGAGTTCTTCACATCTTTCAAACTCTGTGCTGATTAAAACTTTTTATCTGCTCCTTTTTCTTTGAACTTCAGATTTTTAATTTTTCTGCTGCTTTTAGCAAATTCCTTTTTAGCTTATTTCTGCTAAATTATACTTTTTCCAGCTATTTATTTTTACTTTAAATTTTATCTTTTCTGAAATTTCTGTTGCTACTTTCGGCCTTTTGTGATTCTTTCTTTTGAATAATTTCAACTTTTTATGCTCCTTTCGCCTCTCTGTTGCCAATTCATTTATTTATTTTTAGCTTTTTCGGCTACTTTCTTGCTGATTTCAGTTGTTTTGTAATCTATTCAGCCTTTCTACTTTTTTGCTTTCAGCTGATATCAGCTGTTCAAAATAAACTTAAATTAGCGATGAAACATTTTCAGCAAAAATCGTTTAGCTAAAGTTGGACTTTAAAACCCACACAGGAGGCAACAGTCCCAAATTTGCTATTTTCTTTTCTAACGTGGACTTCAGGAGATTAAATCACCCCGTGACCAGTTTCCATTTTACAATCCTTTCAAAATAAAATACATTGCCAATAACAGCAGAGTTGCTGTTTTTTCATCTTAATGTTTCCTCAGATAGAAAACTTTACTAAGTGGCTTTTCTATGTATGTGAACGCTCCTATAAAGTGCCCTGAGACAACTTTGTTGTGATTCGGCGCTACATAAATCGATGAATTGAAGTGAAATGCTTGCAGCCCAGTGCGTCTGATAATCTGCTGCTCCACACTTTAACTTGAATTATCGTAAGAAACGTTGGGCCTAACTGACCGATAGCTTAATTTAAATGAAACACAGAAGAGTTGATTCCGCTCACCCCCGTCTTGTCATCGTCTTCAATGTTCAGACCTTCCTGCTGGGTCAGTGAGAGCCTTCGGTCTTTCTTCAGCCACGAGTTTGGGTGCAGGCCCATGCAGCCTTTTAGCGCCCCCCAGTGGTGAGGATCTTTGACTGCGGAGTCTTTAGGATGGCTTGGGTGTTCGCTGGGGGTCCGAGCAGAGCATGAGGCGAAGGGGGACGGAGGGGAGATGGCGACGGAGAGTGGATCGGTCTTTGTGGTCCCAGTTTGCTCTGTGCCAAGACAGTCCAGGGTGGAGTGGGTGGGGGAGGTAGAGGACAGGCTGGAGGAGCTGGCACCCAAAGCTGCTGGTTTATTTCCCCTCCTGGTGTGGGTCTGAGTGAGTGCGTGGCGCTCTTCGTCCTCAGCGGCGAGTCTGTCGTCGCTGCCTGAGATGTACGGACAGAACCGGGCGGCGTACGCTATCGCCGGCTCGGAGCATCGCCGCTGCGAGTGTCCACCTTCCAGGGACAGCGAGTCGAAGGTGGAGGAGGCGTCCTCAGCCGCCGCCTTCGGTCTCCTGCGTCTCTCCGCCAGGTGAACCCTGACACCGTGCAGGCCTTCGGTTTCGGTTCGGGGCGCCTCCGTATCGGCGTCCTGGTCGTAGTCGCTGAAGGTGAGGATGGAGTCCAGGCTGCTCTGCAGAGCTTTGAGGCGGAGGGGTCTCCTGCTGCAGAACTCCGGAGACCCACCGCTGATGTTGTCCAGCTCGTTCTCCAAGCTGTCGTAGGACGAGTCGGTCAGAGGGTACGCCCAGGACTCTAGGACGTGAACAAGTCAGATCAACGCCAATCACACGCCGGCTTCTTGTTTCAGGACCCATTTCTTTGAGCTACGGCTCATTTACCTTTAAAAACAACTAAACACTTTGGGATATTCTGGTTTTAGACCTCGCCCCATCCTATTTACCACCTGTGGCCAAAAGGCAAAGCAGTAATGTCTGTTTTTAAAATACTTCATGAACCTTTGTAGATAATCCAATACAAAATGGCTACATCCAAGTCAGATTTACAGATATGGAGATAAAATATGACGTGGTAAAAGCTGATCCTTGACGCATAATCTCAACAAAAAGGCTACAACTCAGGTGGAAGGCGTTCATTCCTTTAGCATTTGAGTGCAGATAGTCTGAATTTAGGCGTGTTGCGTTGCTGCTGTACCTGTTCCCGTCTCGTCCCCGCTTAGCCTGCGTGGCGGCCCCCCGAACAGGGAGGAAGGCTCCTCTCCGAGGATCCGCGGACAACGCTCGATCATAAACTTCACCAACTCGCAAACCTGCCGTGCACCAGAGGAACGTGGAGATTTTATCCAACAGGATCACCTCTAGTTTGTCACTTCCTGTTTTCATCTAGTTATTTTTAAGTATTCAAGGTGCTTAACACTTTTATAACTACAGTGGTCCCTCGCTACTTCGCGGTTCGACTTTCGTGGACTCGCTTTTTCGCCGTTTTTCAACGCAACATTGTACACGACACACGATCGTCAACTTTAATATTACTCACGTGATCGGGACGGTACGGGATAAAAGGTTAATGAAACAAAAATGCTTTGGACAGGCGCTGCCATTTTGTAGTTTTTTTCAATAAGCCTACGCTGTAACGCCAGTCAAAAGTACTAGACTACCCACAAGCCAACAGTGCTTCCGGACGCTACTTTCTGCCAAAATGGAGGGAAAGTTTTGCAACGCAAAGTAATGAGGTAATGATCTATCTATGAAGCTCGCAGAACTGGCAGACGAGTTTCAAATAATCCTAATCGCAAGAGTGTGGGAAGGGTTTATAAAGGTCTCTCTTGTCAAGGAGTCCCCGAGGCTAAACGGGATTAACCTGTATAAATAAAGGTTGAATGAATAAAGCCTTAAAATATATATAAATACTAAAATAAATGCAACGTTCCTACTTTCACCTATCGCGGTGGTGGGTGGAACGTAACCCCTGCGATAATCGAGGGACTACTGTATAAGTGCTATATCACTATGTTCCCATACAATGACGAAACTGGTTCTCTGCTGTAACTCATCGCACCTGGGATACACTCAGGTGGCGCAGTGGGCAGCTACTGAGTGCCCGGGGAGTGATTAGGGACTGGGTGTCTTGCTCAGAGGCACCATGACATGTGGGAACGGCTGGGAGTCTAGCCGCGACTTTCTGGTCCCAGTTCGGCTGCCCTACCTCTACCCCATCTCGGCCCCCTTTTACTTTCAGGAACGTTCCTCTGAGGTTTGCTCTGATCTCGACCCCAATTTGTAAAAGTCAAACATTCTAAAAATAAAACTTTGAGCCTCTTAACCAAGTCAACATTCCTAAGATAGAAGCTTAACGTTTAGAAAAGTTGCAGTAAATTACAATTCAGTTTAACATCCGTGGTAACGCTTGATTAGTGTGACCCAATTCATTGAGGGTGCCAACAAATACGTATTGAAGCAATCTTGTTAAGATACATAAGAATTTGTATATGCCAGATGAAGGCAGGACGTATTACGGAATGAACCTCTGATCTGCTCACGATAACTTATGAAATTAACGCACAGTATGCATTATAACTAGACAGTCTCATACACATTTCATCACCCCAACTTTGAGGTCAAAGTTAAAAAAACAAGGTCAAATACAAGGTCTTTGGGCTTTTGCTGTATACGGACGTATAATGTGCCGTATTCTTATTCAATATTGATTGAATTGTTTAAAACTCTCCATCTCACTGTCCACAAACAATGACTCTGGTAAAATAAGAGAGACAACTTTGTTGGACTTTAAATGTCTGAACTAGTATTTTGACGTTTGTAGCTTAAGTTTCACGATTTTTTAAAACTTATCAGAAGGTATTAATTATTGACACTACCGTCAACTTTTATAATAAAGTGCAGTGTTTCCCCTACATTACTTGCCTTGGCAGGGTGCTCATCTCCCGTGATTTTTTTTTTTGTCTGGGGGGTGGAGACAGTGTGACCGACCGAGACATGTCAGAGTTGCGCGATATTTGTACCGACAGTTATCGAGCAGGGGGGAGACGGCCAAGCGTGAGCTAGCGCGTCTGTATTGCGTGCCGCTAGCTTAGTGCTGGCAGTTGTCGACAAGGTGGGCGGGGTTCAGTTCGGTAGGCAGGGCGCTCATCTCTCCCGTGATTTTATCGACGGTGGGGTAAGGGGGTGGAGACGGTACTGACCGACCGAGACACGTCTGAGTTGCGCGCTGTTTGTACGACACTTACTGAATGGGGGGAGACAGATAAGCGTGAGCTAGCGTCTGTATTGCAAGCCGTTAGCTTAGTGCTGACAGTTGTCGAGAAGGTGGTGGTGGTGGGGGTCAGTTCGGTAGGCAGGGTGCTCAGTTTTGTTGACAGGGCGGGGTGCCCTGCCAACCAAACTGACCCCCCCCCCACCACCACCACCTTGATGATGACTGCTAGCGCGTCTGTATTGCGTTCCGCTAGCTTAGCGCTACGTCAGTGCTGACAGTTGTCAACAAAGTGGGCGGGGTTCAGTTCAGTAAGCAGGGCGGGGCGCCCTGCTTGTATAACGGTAGGGGAAACACTGAAGCATGTCTTAACGCTTGCAAACACCGGCCGTTTTTAATTTTATTTACCTTTTTAGTTCCCTCCCCCTCCACCTCAGGGCTGCCCAGCAGTCCAGGAGGCCAAAGTAAACTCGGAGCGATGCACACGGACAGATTAAAACTCGTCATCTGGTTCTCGTGAGCGTTGCTCTGGATGCCATACAGCAGCGCCAAAAGGTACCGGAGCAGCAGGGCGTTCTCCTTGGACAGTCGACTGATCATCCTGGGGTGCAACGGGAAATAAAACTAGCAAATCGTGTACAAATCCAAAACAGTTGGCATGTTGAATGAAATGTAATTAAAGTACTTTATTAATAGTAAAACGTTTAGAAAAAAAAAGCTAATTTAGCAACATGGCTAACAGTACTTCCCTGCTTTCAACATTAACCACTTGACATTTCAAGATGGCTGCCAATGTACGATTTAAATGCATTATTTTTCATTAAAGCAATTATTTAGATTGCTAAAAAACACATTTACGTCTTGAAAAAAGGGCGGCCATTTTGATTTTTTCGTTCCCTAAAAAAAATTAGCAAGTTGGCTAAATGTTTAAGATGTAAATTGTTTTAATATACGTTATTTTTCTACCATAAAACACATTACATGTTTATACCTCATAGAAATCAAGATGTCAAAACGACTTTTGAAAATGAAAAACTTTTGCTGGCCGTCTTTTAAAAACGGTGGCCATTTTGAATTTGCAGTTCCATACAATCATGTTCGTCACTTGGCATGCGTGTTATATTTTCCTACCGTAAAACAGCTAATTACACATTAAAACATAAATTTCAAGCTATCGAAATGCCATTTAAAAATATAGCTCTTTTCTCGGCCATCTTTAAAGAGGTCGGCCATTTTGAAATTGCCTCCACATTTGAAAGATTTAATTTATCGGCTGCTGAACTAAAAACAGGTCTGGTTCTGGACATCATTGCTTGGACTCGGGAACACTTCCACAAATCATTGTCGGTAAGCACAAGTCACTGTGCCGTTCACAAATGTTGCCTAAAGCTCTATCGTGCAAAGAAAGAGTCGTATGTGTGCACCATTCATAAATGCTGCAAAGTGGAAAACGTCTGTGGTCGGATCCAAATTTGAAATACATTCGGACGCCACATTCTCTACTTGAGAGGGACCGTCTAGGCTGTTATCAGCGCACAGTCCAAAAGCCAGCCTCTCTGATGGTATGGGGGTGCATTATTGTCCACAACATGGGCAGCTTACACATCAAACTTTTTCTTTACATTTTACACAACTCTTTCAGAATGGACGTTGTTTTTGAGTCTCTGGAAAAAGGTGGGTACCTCTTTACTTCTTGCACACGCTCTTCCTCCTCCTCCTCTTCCTCCAACACGTCCGTCCATTCTTCAAACAACTCGCATCCCAACAGGCTGCCGGGGACGCTGCGCAAGAAGTCCTGCCGGTAAGAACACAACAAAATTTGGTAAAGAGCCACGCTGAATAAAAACCTGCACGACGACAAGACGTGACACAGTTTAGGGACTCGTGGAGAAGCTGTAATCCCTCCAGATGATAATGGATGATAATCCAGATTAGATTAATGAGCCTGCATGAACAGCTTGTCCTGCTAATTCAGCTGCAGAGCGTGTCAGCTGATTAATGTTCTTACAGATGTGGGTCGTTGAGGTGAGCCGTTTCGAGTGCGAGATGCTGAAAAGTGAACGACCAGCTACAAACATAAGATCTGTACCTTGAAGACGCCGGCGACGGTGAAGATGTGGTCTCGTGAGAGCGGAGGCCGGGACTCCCCGGCGTCCAGCGAGTCTCGCAGGTCCCTGACGGCTCGAGCTCCCGCCGGCCGACGGAAGATGCCCTTCGTCCAGGAGCCCTCGTGGTACAGAAACATCAGCATGTCCTGCCGTTAAAGTGAAGAACGCTGATTTGTCCCCCACGTTTCGGAAACGGTTTGAATCAGACGTTTAAGAAATTGCACCACTTTAGGAAAAAAAATGAACACTTTGAATTTTACGGCAGCAACATACGTTAAAGAAGTTGCTCCGGGTCCATGTTTCTCTCAGTTTAACAATTTACAAACGCCCGTGTCAGTTACTAATGTACCCCCATACCATCAGAGAGGCAGGTGTTTAAAGTGTGTAAGACTGGATCTCTTTAGTACGGAGGGACGTTGAGTTTGCAGTTTCAAAGATTTGCTTCACTTGACCACAGAACAGTCTTCTGCTTTACCCGAGTCCATTTTAGGAATAACGACTTCTTCGCCCGATAGAGCTTTAAGCAGCATTTATGGATGGTGGTAGAAGAGTTCCTGAGTCCATGCAGTGATGTCCAGAACAGAGCCAGACCCATTTTTAATGCGGTGACCCCTGAGGGTCTGAAAATCACGACCGTCTACGATTGGCTTTCAGCCTCGCCCTTTGAGCTCAGATTCAAGTTCAAGAATCTTGATTATCCCCAGGGGCAATTACCGTATTTTTCGCTGTACAAGTCACAGTTTTTTGGATAATTTGCATGCCCTGCGACTTATACGCCAAATCGACGTATTTATGGATTCATCCCATATTTATAAACCAATTCTTGGACGAGATATGACCGTTTTCATTCATTCTGACTGAAAATATTGAACACTACCGTTTTCAACCACTAGATGTTACTAGATGCCGTTATGTCAAGTAATGGGTAAAACTGGCTATTAATGACCCAATCGGCTTGCCATAACATGCCACCGTCGTCTGCCTGGAGCAACCAAATCAGCTTAATTTCGCTGCATCGGCGAAATGAAGCTGATTTGACGGTCTAAGTGCATTTATTAAGTAAAAGTTCAACTGAGACACACCTTTGCAATAAAGTTGAGAAAACAAATTATTGTTTTAAGTGTTAATCTTGTTAAAGTCTTGTTAAAATCCTCCTGTGCACGCTCCCGTGGCCACCATTTGGCAGACAATCAATTTTTGGCACAACACTGGCCCACATTTGCAGGTTCGGCCCACATTTTCGAGTTTGGCCCACATTTGCAGGTTCGGCCCACATTTTCGAGTTCAGCCCACATTTCCAGGTTCGGCCCATATTTCTGAGTTTGGCCCACATTTCCAGGTTCGGCCCACATTTCCG